CCTACATAGAGCCTTAAGACTTTCAATACTTACTACTTTCATTATCGTACGCTAAGCCGGCTGGTTCGACTTGCAAAACTACAAACTTGCCTCAAAGACGCTACACCTTACACAACCCTCTTCTCTCTGGCCGTTTATTGCATCATCAACCTTCCGACCAATTGCTAAGGGTGATTAAATATTGCCTAAAGTAAAAATTTCATGGGAGGGATGGGACTGATAACCTCTCGTGTGAACTTGTGTCACAAGTCATAATAACTACGAAGGAAAAAGTCTTATAGGGGATCGTGTGAAGACAAAACGGGAGAGAGTACGAGAAACAACGTCACACAAAACATCACGAACACTAACGAAACGGAGTACGACACCGTGACCGTCACACAAACCGACACTAGGTCACTACCGCGAAAAACCCATCATTGTCAAATCAAATAACTGAAAAGTGTCCTTTCCTAAGTGTTCACGTCAAGGCACTCGCCCCCCTAGTGCTCACTTTTTCCTCTCTATGGTACCCACTTTGTCCTCGGTTGTCGCATGTCGCCCCACCTGCTGTAGTTTTGTGTTGTAGTTTTGCTTGTCTGACACGCGTTTCTCTGAAGTGGCAGTGATTTTCAGCCAACGACTGTCGTCTTGTTCCAACAGTCGACGAAACAAATTTTCCGAGGCGTCCCCCCCCTCCCCCTTCCCTCCAAAATTCACGCGTTCGCTCGTCTGGTCCCCTCACCGTCGCGTTGCAGAGGCCTGCTCAGACCCCTCCGCGACGAACTTTCCCCCCAGCCTCGCGGACGCCCAAAACTTTCACGCAACACGCTGTACTGGTCGTCCGTAACCACGCTTCTCCTAGATTCCTCTGCCCACCGCTACCATATTTCAAAGCGTCGAGTCTCTTTAATTATCGTCCGATACTGAGATAAACCGAGACTTTTCACCCTCTCTCGACTCATAAAATCCTTACCATAGCCGCATCGGTGACCTCGACCCTCGGCTCCACATCCACGACCTGACCTGCTTTGCACCCCCACACCCTCAAACGCGAGGACACACAATCCACACACCCCAACTTCTCGGAGACGCTCGTCCTCAACCAGACACGCTGGTGACCTCTGCCTACCTCCAGAGACCGAGTCCGTCATTCGCTGACAACGTCACCAGATCGCCCCCCTTCCATCTCGCCGCGCCTACTGCGTACTACGGTACGCACCACAGGCGCGAAACCGACGATCCTCCCAACCCCCCCCCAGCAGTCGAAACCCACAACGGAGTTGACCTTTTTCGCGAGGACTAGCGTCACAAAACTCACACAACCAAATTGCCTGTCTGGTACACCTTAGTTTTTGTTTGTGGATTTAAGGCCTGCTCGCCACCTCGCACGCCACCCCCTGCCTCAGCTCCGCATGGGTACACCACCAGACTCTATTCTCCCTAGGCCACAAGACCTCGCTTACCCAGTCTCAGAGACAGCAACAGCTCAATCTCCAACCTCTTCAAAAGTGACCATTGTGCAAACTACGAGCAGTTCGCCGTCAATTCCCCTGTCAAACACCCGATCGAGTCTCAACAAAACTTCACGACCCCCCCCGCTCCCGCACCTCCCTCCCTAGGCCGTCCTCTCTACCCATCTCTCGCTAACAACCTCCGACCGACTAATCGACAGGCCTCCTCCTCCCCCCTCGGCCTCACATTTTTAACATGGAAGTTAATGGAGAAACTCTTCAGACTTGAACAATCTTCATGCGACTTCAACTGCTAACTGCTCACAGCTAGAGTGTAGGAAATCTTGAAATTCTCCTTCATATCTTCTTTTAAAACTGCCATAATTCCCAAACCCTACATTCCTGAGACATAATTTTTCATGACAAACGTAGGAAAACATCTCGTTGCTTGAAAAACTTTTAGTAATGTTATCTCCCAAAAAGGCCATATTATTAACCCGAAAGTACACAAAAAGCACACTTCAGATACTCAAGGTCCTTGAGAAGCTTCACGCTTTGAAATTTCACAGATATCTGTTACGGTTCTTCAACAAAACGTTCACATGTAAGAGGTTTATCTCTCATTCAGAACAATGGAAACCTTTGATCTCTGCACACCTCGTTAGTTCAAATACAAACACCTGTGTCATGGAACACGATGATGTCATCGCTCCAACTGACATGCTCAGAGCAGCAGACTTCAGATAAAGGTTAATGGTCCTGCCCTCAACAGCTCTACGTCAATTATGGGGTTTCATCATATGCCGTTTCCATGGAAACGCATCCCTCGCCATAAAAGATGATGTCGCTATAACTCCTATGAAAATGTTCAAAAAGTGCTCAAACTTCACATGTGTGCTAACAGTCCAGCCGTGAAGACATCTACGGGACAGCTTTGAGATTTCTTCAAATGCCGTTGCCATGGCAACACAACGGCCCAAAACTTCACAGTTTTGGTAACGATGCAGCCATCAATGCATCTAAGCGTATTATGGGATGTCATCAAATGCCGTTGGCATGAGGACAGATCATTCGCCATCAAGTTACTTCAAAAGTTTGCAGTTCAAATATTCTGCTGCTTTTCCAAGCCTTTTTACTTTCTTTTCTTCTCTCATCACACATTCAAGCCCCAAGTGTTCATTTATAATTTCAATCTAAATTCTTCACTTTCTTCTTACACATTACATTTCAGCATAGCAGTTTAGCACCAGCTTTTCAGCATAAAGCATTCCCACC